CGAGCCTCTGCGCCTGGCCACAAGCCCCGGGCCCGTCCCTTACGCTGTGAAACCTCCTCTTCCAGCGCTCTTCATGGAGAACGCTAGGAAAGGGAGCATCGTGTCACGAGCCTCCAGCGCCTCTTCTGTCCCCAATACAGGTAGGCCTGGGGGTTTGTCCTCCGTGACCGTGGGTCTTCCCGCTCACCGGGCTGCCCAGCGGGGCTTCCAGCTCCCACCCCTGCACCGAGGGTGCGAGCACAGCTGCCTCTCTTGCCGGCTGGGCAAGATTTCCCACCCTTAGGAGAGGAGGGAAAATGGTGGGGAACGGCACTGAGGAGCTGTGGTTTCCAGCACTGTTTGGAGCAGGGAATCAGTCAGGTTGCGATGCCTTCCCAAGGGAGCTGCAGGCGTCTTCCTCCTGCCCAACTCCACAACGAAAGGGAAAGGGTTGGGCAAGGCCCCTTGAAGTGTTTGTCCTGGGCCTGACCTGATGGAGCTGGCAGCTGCACAGGGCTGTCCTGGGCCTGGCCATGGTCTGCAGGGCAGCGGGAGAAGGGCGCCCAGCTGGTACCTTGAGCTGTCACCCCCCCATCCGCACCTCTGCCCCCCATGCTTCAGAGCTCACCAGTCAGGCTTCTTCACGCTCACGTGAGTTCGCTCCACGCAGATGACGAGGACAGCGATTATCACCAGGAGCCCTACAAGGAGTCGTACAAGGACCGGCGCAGGCGGGCGCGCACCCAGGCGGAGCAGAAGAGGCGAGATGCCATCAAGGTAACCCAAGAGGCTGCCTGCGCTGTCGGAGCGCAGCGACTCGCTGGTTCCCAGGGCCCGGCGGCACCCAGCACCCTGCTCTTTTCAGCACTTTCCCCTTTGTTTTGCTGCTGGATCTACCCTCCCCGGCCACATGTGTGCTGGGAGTCACCTGGGCTCTGGCTGGCAGCATGGTGGGAGCTGGGATTTGACACCTTTTGAAGCAACCAGTCTCACACCGCTGAACTCCAAATATGTGCACTGTGGCTCTGCTTCCCCACAGAAAGGCTACGATGACTTGCAGGCCATCGTTCCCACCTGTGAGCAGCAGGATTTCTCCATAGGCTGCCAGAAGCTGAGCAAGGCCATCGTCCTCCAGAAAAGTGAGTCTTGAGGGTGAGGAGAGGGAAGGGGGTGTTATCAACCCCCAAAACGCCTCACTAGAGCCGTGCAGTGTGGAGGTTCAGCACTTTGGGACCTTGTGGTGTGATGATGCTCTGGGGGAGTCAAGGTGCTGGCCACCTCTACCCACCCACCCCCCCGAGGGGAATCAGGGCAGCCGGGAGCTGATGCTGCCCAGGCTCAGGCACCTTCTGTGGGGATCTCAGGGGCTTGTGTGTGCTCTCAAATCCTCACTCTGTATTTTCATGCTCAGCCATTGACTACATCCAGTTCCTGCATAAGGAAAAGAAGAAGCAAGAGGAGGAAGTTTCTACCCTCAGGAAAGACGTCATGGCCTTGAAGATCATGAAAGTGTAAGGGAAGAGCTGTTGGTTGCTGCCCTCTTCTTCCTGCTGTTTTCCCCCCTGTCCTTTCGAGGCTCTGTGGGTGCACTCAGTGCTTTGCAGAGAGCCTTGCGCCCGGAGTCCCAACCCTGTCCTTGCCTGCTGTCAACTTTTCTGCTCCTGCGGCTCGTTAGCATGGGTCTGTCTTGGGTTAGATGGTGGAGTTTAGTATGAAGGTGGATCTGAGTCAGAAAGTGAATCTGCTCCCACTGTCAGGGGAGGCTGCAGCTTCCCAGTGTTTATTTACTTGCAGGATCTTCCACAAACTCGTGGTCCTCCCCATCCCTGCAGTGGTTCTCAGTGGCCAGCGACAGGCCATGAGCTCTGTCCCCGCAGCTGAGCAGAAGCTGGGGGTGGGAGGCCTTACTCTGCTGCTGAACATGTTTCAGGAACTACGAGCAGATTGTGAAAGCTCATCAGGACAACCCAAATGAGGGGAAAGACCAGGTCTCTGACAAGGTGAAGTTCAATGTTTTCCAAGGCATTATGGATTCCCTGTTCCAGTCCTTTAACGCCTCCATCTCAGTAACGAGTTTTCGGGAGCTCTCGGCTTGTGTCTTCAGCTGGATTGAGGAGCACTGCAAGCCCCAGGTAAGTGGGAGCCATGGGTGGGCTCTTGTGATGGCAGATGGAAACAGGGCAGAGCCCCTTGTGCACATCTACACCCAGCCGGAGTGCAGGGCTGGGTGCGGCTGTCCCCTCTCCTGGGGTTTCCAAAAGGGCAGCATGGGAGCAGTGCTGGACTGGGGCAGGGCAAGGACAGAGGGAGGACAGTAGACGGGGGCCGAGCATCAGCCTCTCCCACTCCAGCTGCTGGACTGGTTTGGTGCTGAAAGCTGGCCAGGGTGAAGCAGAATTCAGAAGGAGAGTCCTGCTTGGTCCCCATTGCTCCCTCGAGACACCTAAAGTTTTTTCTGGGAATTAAGAAACCTCTGAGGGGGACTGGCACTTGGGTGGGGCCCGGTCCCTGCCCTGCTGTGGCTGCCCACGACCCCGCAGCTCAGGAGCAGAGGTGGGAGTGTTTCCCGTACAGGTGTGGTGGTGGTTGGCACTGCATGTGCTAGCTCCAGCGCCACGGCAGGGGAGATCCCCACTGTACATGCCCTAGGCTCTTGCAGGAGTTGCTCACCAGGGATGGGCCATTCCTCCCCTGGAACAACTGACTGTGTCTCCTCTCTGCCGCAGACGCTGCGGGACATTGTGATCGGGGTCCTGCACCAAGTGAAGAGCCAGCTCTACTGAGCCTTCCTGCTGCAGTGCCAGTGGCTCCGGGGCTGCCACCACCTCCACACCCACAGGGACGGGGCATCTCCTGCCCGGGGGCCTGGGTGACAGGCACCATGAAGGGCTGGACCATCTCCCTCGTGGCTGTTCTTAAAGCTTCTCTGAATTATTTATTGTATTAACTACGAAACCAAAACAAAGCTGTGCGGACACCTCTGCTCCACAGGTACTGTCACAGTCAATATTACCAAATATTTGTAGGGACTTAGCAAAGGCAGGGGAAAAAAGTGTGTAGTGAGTAGAGGTCTTTTAGGGTGCCAGAGAGTCTTTAGCTCAGGCAGGTGTGGCGGGGTTTGCCTGCGCCACTGACTCTCCGCTGCGGAGCAGCTCTGCAACCTCAGGCCTCCGATACAACCCCTTCTGATCCCGGCAGAGGGGGGGATGAAACAAGAATGCATGCTAAAAGCTGCTGGTTTCTGTTAAAACAGACTAGGAATCGGCTTCTCCCGTAACCGTGGGCTTTCTCGTACCTCTGAAGGAGCTCTTCCGGGGCAGGTTTGTTGTTTTTTTTTTTAAGTTGTGTAGATGCTTTGGGGAAGCCTGGCTGAGCTGGCTGAAGGCTGAGCCCATCACTGGCACCGAGACACTTACCTGGCATAGCCGCTGCCTCCCCGGTGCAGAGCTGGTGGCACGTGCCGGGGATTTGCTAAGACGTGACCTCTTCGGCTGCAGCCACAGTTCCTCTGATGGGGACAGGAGTGAGCTTTCTGCGCAGGCTTTTCCTGCTCATGCTGGTGGGTGCTGAACAGTGTCTGTTTTCATCTTGGCTTCGGGTTTTGTCGTGTCCAGTACTGAACAGGAAAAAGTAGCTCTGTAGCACAGCACCACCACAGGCTCTCGCTGCTCCTCCTTAGAACTTTTATATAGATACATACACATAACCAGCCTTGATTTGATTTTTTTTGTTTGTTTGTTGTTTTTATAAATTGCTGAAATCATCCTGAAGTAGTGTCAGCTTTGCAGGCAGATGTTCTCGGGGACACTTTTTAACCAGTCAGATGCTGCTGCTGTCAGTATGGGTCGTGGCTCTGGCCAACCCAAACCCTTTGCAGCGTGGTGTAGCCACTGCCCAAGCGATGATTGTTCACCACGCAGCGCAATTGTACCGCGGCTCCTCCAGTACGGTGCCACTGGCAGCAGGATTTGTTCTCTGTAATCGCGTTCGTGCTCCCGCTCCAGGGGTAGTGGATATTTATTTTACGCTGTTTCTCCACTGACAATGAGGTAGCACGCAGCTCCAGGTTATGTGGTTTGAACGCTGCAGCATGAGAATGTTTAGGCTACTGCTTCTACCCCCGTTTAGTAGCAGAGAACCCATTCTGGGCTGTGGGTGGGGGTGTTATTTTTAAACAGAATTAGTCTTCAAACCCTGCCTTTAGGTGCCCTTTTCAATGCAATGCAATGGAAGCCCCAGAGTCAAACCCTGTGGTGATGCACATGACCGATAAAGCACGCACAGGGGCAACTGTGTCTTGCCTGAAAGATGTTGCTTTGTGATGAAGAAAAATCCTCTCTCATGGGTGAGCAGGTTAGGGTTAGGGCTCTGCGGCTGAACCCCTGGAGATGCTCTGCCAGAAGCTGCCTCCTGCCCTGGAGTTTTACAGACCTCACATGTGAAAGCGACATATTTTTCTATTGTGAAAAGTAATTAAATAAATTTTGCTGAATGTTTTAATGATTCTTTTTTTCTTGCTTTTATTTCTGTTACTGAGTTCCTGGAGTCTACCCCTAGAGCCAGTCAGCCAGACTGGCAGTTTCTGGAAGCCCAACCCAGCCATTAGGCTTAGGTTACCCCCTCCTGCCTTCCCTACCCCTCAGGGCTGCTGTGACCCAGAGCCCAAACCCTGCCCCAAGCTGCTTTCAACAGAGAAAAACACCACAGCAAAGCACAGCTGAACCAAAAGCCTGGTGTTTAATGGATGCTGAGCTTGTGTACTACCAGGTGCCACTGCAGGAAGCAACTGAAATACACGTGGAGCTCTGTAGCCAGAGCTTGTCATCTGCCTCCCTGAGGACCTCGCTTCCTTTTCTTACTGGAACACCAGGGACTCTACAACAGTGTACCTACACCTTCCCCTACGCACCCAAGAGGACATCCGACCTCAACAGCTCGCTGCACAGAAGGGCAGGAAGAAATAACGTTCCCTCTGCATGTGAGATGGTGAGGGCGCCCAGTGCCAAGTCACTGGCCCCAACCACCCTTCCAGCTGCAAAGCATTTTTAAAACAAATGCATATAAATATGCGGGACCAGGCCAAGCCTTGCAAAAAGAAGGGGGGAAAAAAAACAAAACACAACACCAAAACACCCAACAGCTGAGTTTCAGCATCAGCTCCTTCTCCTCCCTGGGGCAAAGGCTCACACGGCTGCCGGCAGCGTGATGTTATGGTCTTCATCTGTCTCTATCCCAACCTCCTCCTATACAAGCACAGATCACCTCAGCAGGGCGGTGGCCCCGGCCCGGCAGCACAGGCAGAGCCACCCCCACCGCCACCATTGTCCTGGGGCTGAGCTTGGCCTTGGTACTTACGAAGAATTGCTTCTTGCTTTTGGGGTACCCCTCCAGGATGGCCTCCAGCAGCTCAGTCGCCTGGTGAGACAGGGGAACCGTGAGGGCTGTGGAGTGGCCACGCCGAGCTGCCAGCACTGGGCAGCCCCACTGCAGCTCTTGGGGACTGTCCCCCGCCCTGTTGGGGCGTCACAAGCCAGTACAGCTCAGGTGACAGCATGGGAGCAGCCATCTCTCATGCAAGGAGCATCAGCTTTGTTTCCCAAGGACAAGCAGAGCTCTGCAGGGCCTGGCATATCTGGCACTGCAGCAACACGGCCTTTTCCCAGGGGATCATCTTGGTACCCCCCAAGTCTTCCCCAAATGCGCGCAGCCGGTGCAGCACTCCCTGCTCCACAGCTACAGCATTCGCCTGAGGTCTCTCCACTCAGCACCGGGAAGGCACTCAGCTCAAACAAGAGCTCCTCCCCAGGCTGCTCAGCAGACCCCACATCCCTGTCAGGGCACCAGCATCGCCCACTGTCACCACAGGACCGTCACTGCCACCCCCCTGGCCCTGCCCACCCACCCCACTCGATGGCGCAACCATTACCATTCGCTTCCTCCTCCGCCACTCCTTGCAGTACAGCTTCTGCTCGCTACAGACCTGCGAACAGCAAGGCCAAGTGAGACCCAACCAGGCAGCACCTGCCCCACGAAGCCGCCCTGAGCCTGAGGCGGGAAGCACCTGGTGCCAAGGACCCACCAGGTGTCCCAGTTGCAGCCAGAGGGTTATTTAACAGCACAAGTGGCTCACAAAGCCCCTGTGGGGACACGAACCTCTCTGTGAGAAGAATCACCCGAGAGAGGGAAAGGATGAATTGACCAAGTGGTGGGTGACTGCCCAAAGCGAAGGTTGGCAAGGAAGAGGCAGCTCAGGCTGTTTCCTAAGGATGCCCCAAGAGTTGTCACCATCGCACACACAGCCGAGGCTCACGCACAGGCTCTATGGAGCAGCCCAGATCCCACACAAGCCCCTGTCTCTGTTGTACCGGTGTCAGTCGGACTGGGGACCAGGTAACTTGGACAAGGGTTTGGAATGATTGGCCCAGGCCTGGCCCGGGCTCTGGTGCTGGGCTCAGCCCCAGACAGCTCTTTACCTTCTCTTTTTCTTCTGGAGTCACATGGTTGGTGGCAGACTTAATCCTCTCCAGTTTCTCTGTGTAACTCGTGCAGTCCTTCCTCAACTCCTCGATCTCTCTGGCCATCTCAGGGGTTGTCATGGAGCTGTTTAGGTCCTTTAGCTCTGGAAGGGAGGCACTGATCACCGGCAGAGCAGATGGCCCAGCAGCCGGGGCACAGCTTGCCCAGCCCCATGGGGCCCCCAGACTCTCCCAGTACCTCGGGGGTCTGGCTGGGCACGCTCACCCGTCTCCATTTGCCGGCAGCTCTGCTGCAGCGCCTGCTGCTTGGTGGAGAGCGCAGCGATCTC